CAGTCTGTAGAAAATTTGCCAAGAGATGGAGAGAAACTTGTTGGACTGCCAGAGAATGACTCAGGGTACTGAAAAGTAACATTTCCTCAGCTGCTTAGTAAGTTTGGACAAGTGATAAAACGTACACAGTCATGAAGAAGGAGGTAGGACATTTGTTCATACCAGAGACAGAAAATAGGGCTGTTAGTCATGTTTTGACTGCACCTTGTAGTATAGGAGGTAGCTTGTGGCACTTGGGTGCTGCTTCCAAAAACTTTTCACTCTAATGCTGCATTTGTAAATAAAAAAGCTTGGTGGTCATTTCAGGCCCTGTGAGACCTGAAGCTTGGGAATTTGAAGCCAGTGCCTGGAATTCAGTTTGCATGCAAAGAGAGGGTGTAAATCTGTTGCCTCATTCAAAAGAGCAAGTGGCTGAGCTCAGGTGTATGGGAACAAGCAGCAGTTTCTGTACTTGATTTCTGTATCAAATGTTTGCATCAAATGAAATTACTGTAGTCAGGATATGCCTGGAGGAATCTTCTGTCTAATCTGCCACGAATTGTCAAGCTACTGCATGTAGGGTGGTGTCATAGCATGGAACAATGACTAAACCTCACCTGCCAGCAAGGAAAGGCAGTGGGGGAACCCTTTGTCATGGTAATAGCTCGGTAGTCACTGCTGATGGCAGAGCTGTCTCAGAGTGGGTCTTTCCAGCTGGCTACGGGCTCCTGCAGTAACAAGCATTAATAACTCCTGAATGCAGATGATGTGCAACAGAAATCACTTTCCAACACCCTCACAGATGCTCTCACCTTCTTGAGTGTGAAGGGCTGCTCTGCACTGTACCATCCTGATGGGCATTTGGCTGTTACCCTGGCCATGTCACTATGCAGTAACATTTTTGGGGTAGATGAGAGTAGAGTGCTTTAGGTGCATCAGGCACACACAACCAAGGGATGTGGAGCATCTCTGTGGATGTGGAAGTCTTGCATTGTTCCCATTGCAGAAAAATATTTCAAATCTGTTTGATTTCTTTAGGCTGGAATTAAAATTGTTACTGCAGTGACAAGCACTATCACTCGACACTGCTTTGAAATGGGGAATAGAGTCAGTGTTTAAGGTGATGTTGAACAACGCTGTTTCTCAGACAACAGTGCAATGCAGACATGACTGGATTATGCTGTTGTTACACCCTTGATGGACTCCCTAACAGAACTCTGCAAATAATTTTATCTTGGACGAAATAAAGGGGCTGACTGTACGGCACCCAGCTTTGTCAGTGTTCTGGGAATTGCTCTTGGTCTGTGCATTTTTTAGGGTCTTTGGAGAGCAAGTAGATTATATGCTTCTGGCAATTTCACTTGATTAAGGATCATCACTGTAGATGAGTTTAAATGCTAGCAGAAATAGCTGAAAGAACTAGGAGCTTGTAATAGAAATTAATAATAATCTCAGTGCAGAGGTGTGCTTCTCTCAGGGACTGGGCCCAGCATTAAAACAGGGGCATCAGTCTAGCTGCAAGTCCAGGTAGAAGAGGCTATAGCCACAAGACAGCAGTTGTTTGGAAGAACAGCAGAATAGTTTGGACAGTATTGCAAGAGAGCACAAATGGGAAGCAAAAAGTGGATCTGAGAAAGGAATGAACTGTGCTAGGCTGAACCTTGGTCTCAGTGCAGGCACAGGCTTCAAGAACTGACTGCAAGGAGAGGTTCAACCTGTCTTGGCCCATCCATGCCAAGCACTGTCTCTTTCCTGTAGGTAAGAGTGCCGAAATAGTCCCTAATGTCATTCACACTCAGAGTTTTGATTGTTACTCCAGAGAGACTGATAGAAGAGTGATACATGCAGGATCATCATCTCTCTCTGCTCAGTAGTATTCAGAGAGCTTTTAGGTCAAAACAGAATGTAAATTTATTGAAGTTTTTATGGAGATGGTGTTAAATGAGAGAGAGCAAGGAAGCTTGGTTTTAGATTAAAAGCTCTGGAGAGAGTCAGTACCAAGAACAATCTAGTACAATAATGAGAGGTTCATAAATGGTTTCCCTGAAGCATTGACCCTTTCACATGATAAGGATTACAGATACTAGATCTCTGTGTCAGCATGAGAAGGTATTCTCTGCTTTGAAGTGGAATTGGATGCCAAGTCTCTATAACAGAACTTCCTCACAAGGGCTGCAAATTTGGTTAGATGTTATTTACAGAAAATTAGGTTATATAAGGAGACAGGCTGATTAATCCAATGGTCAGGAATCTGCTAATCCAGCTAACATGAAAGCAGGTGTCTCACTACTTTCAGTACCACTGAGGGTTTTAGCGTGGTAAATTTAATAGGTCCTTGTTTTTTGAGTTTGATTTCTGCCTCTAGCTGTGTTTTTATTGCATGTTACATAAGCATATCTTGTTAATCTCTAAATAAAATGAGTGTGTAATAGAAGTGAAAAATGAGTTTACAGAAAACACATTTTAATGCAGACCTAAATGATGTCCTTTAATGTCTATTTTTAGCTGGGTAGCTAAAAATGTTAGCACTCTTTTCCTTCTGTAACCAAAAGGCACCCCTCTCATTCTTTTTTATGCAAATTAGGACTCCCACACCATTAAATCATTTTTATTGACTATTGAGCCTTCAAAGTAACGGACGGAACTTTAATATGCTACATTACCATAGCATAAAATACAATTTGTAGTTCTTATTTAGATTCTGTGTTGCTGTACTTCCTCTAAATAATTGTTATTACTGAAGAAGATTTACAGGCACCATTGAAAGAATAAGTGCTCTCTGTTTTGCATGCATTGAAGCACTGGCCGTGCATGATTTCACATCTAAACCCACTTGCTCCCAGTTCTGTTCTGAAATGAAACAAGTCACATGAGGCTCTTAGTTGCTAACAGAGCTTTAAGTATGGCAGTATCCAGAAGTTCTGCTGACTTCAAACAGTGCCAGGATTTAACCCCTTCTTTTGTGCTGCTAAGTTTGTGCAAACTTTGGGGATGGAGTGTTCATCTTCAGGCTGTGAAGTGTCACTTTGCACATCCCCAGGCTCATTAATGCCGCATGCATGGCGTCAGCTGCTGTGCAGCACTTGGCAGGAAAACTCTCTGTTCCTTGGAAGTGCAAGGAAAATACTGTCCTCCCACCAATTTTTGCATAAGGCTGTGCACATATTCAGCTTGACAAGGTACATGGCCTTGCCTTCTGTTATTATAGATAGCTGCAGCCTCTTGGAGCCAAGGGAAGGGATGCATGCAGAGATTTTATGATTAACCAGGAAGAAATGCATATGAGTCATTCTGAAAGAGTATAACTCTTCTGAAGGAACTAATATTTTGCTCATGTTGACAACCTTGGAGAATGACATTTATCTTGTACCACAACCTAGGGGTGGCTGAGAAATATTCAAGCATTTTCTTGACAGTGTCTCACCCTTCTTCTAGAAGGGTCACCTCAGAAGTGGAAGGATGTTCAGCCATACTGTCACTTCACTACAGAATAATTTTTGGTGTGCCAGTAAAAATGCCATTTATGATCCCATTCTCATGTCAGATAGGCCAAGGTGGAGCCTTTCCGTGGTCAGGCAGGGGACTGCCTTTGAGATGCTTCTCTGCTCACCTCTAGCAAGTTCCACGTCACCATGCCAAGTCCCCACAGTCATCTGGGTCTCCCAGTGTTTCAAAATTGCAGTTTCAAAGATATTCAGGAGGAATTTTCACTCTAATTTCCCCCCTCACAGCAGCTTCCTAAGAATATTCACTACCTTAAAAAGTCAGGACATTTAAGGTTGTGTCTAATTTCAGAATTGTTATTCTAAATCTGGAGCCTGGATTAGTAATTTTGAATTGGACTCTTGAACTGTCAATACTTACTGCATGACATCAGTTAAAAAATAAATAAATAAGAGAGAGACACTGAGTTTTTGCAGTGAGAGCATGTAGACCACGGGTTATGCACCAAAGAGCAAAGTCTGCCTGTATGAAGAGAATTATTTTGTCTACATACATGCTTACATGTGTGTGTATATGTATATGTATAAAAACAGTTTCCCTTTTCAGTTACATGTGGCAGTGAAAACTGAGTATCACTTTGTGACCTTTTGAAAGAATTAGAATATTTCAGTTGGAAGGGACCTACAGTAATTATCCAGTCCAACACCACAGTAATCTAGTCCAAATATTGAGAAATGTTAAAGTTCAACCATGAGATATGTTATGAAATTTATCATGACACATTATTTTATTAACAAGTTGACATTCAAAACACATAAATATGCCTGTTACATATTTTTTCTAAGAAAACCACTAAGATGTTGCTGATAGTGCAAGAAAGTAAATGAGCAGTCTCTTCTAAGAACTGTATTCTGTTTTTCTGTAATATATGAGGATGTAAATGGGTGAATACACAATATAAATAATGAATACACAATATAAATAAGTCTGTAATATAAGAGCCATTTGATATTAGGTCTCTGAAATATTAAGAGACAATTGTCTCACAAACTTGCCAAATAAGAAGAGAAAAAATACTTCTCATCATCTTTTTAAATGGGAAAGTACTCTCCTAAGTAAGGTATCCAGTGTCCATCTCAGACATGTCCTATTACTCTGACATTTTTGAAGTTCTCAGTAGACAGTGATGGCTTACTCTGTTCTTTTTTCTCCCCAAGATTATTTGGAAATACCTGTGATGACTCCATTAGCCCTGCTTCCTTAGGGCCCAGTTCAGCACTGTTTACCTTCCCAATGGAGGAATCCTTAAGGCCTTTGTCAGGGCACCACCCAAAGGTGTCCATGAACATCTGTATATATCCCTTAGCATTAGGAAAATATACATTCAGTGAATCCAGTAATGATAATAAGCACTAAGCATTGTGCAGGAGATTGTGCAGGATCATGGCCTCATGTTTTAATATGCTTAAGTCAGATGATATATAATTAATATGAAGAAAGGTCTCTGCTTCATTTCATCTAATGGCAGGGTGTTCTTTGCTTTATTTTTATGGCTTGGTGTTTTGTTTTTCCTTCAGCTGAACTCTTCCTGGAACAGCAGCATCTCAAAGAAGCAAGCTTTTGTACCCAGGAGGCAGCTAGTCTTTTCCCCACATCTCATGCTGTACTGTACATGCGTGGGAGGCTTGCAGAGATGAAAGGCAATTTGGAGGAGGCTAAGCAATTGTATGATGAAGCGCTCACCGTGAATCCAGCTGGAGTGGAAATTATGCACAGCCTGGTGAGTTTGCAGGGGCTCAGCTCCATTATAGTATTTGTGTTCCTGATTAACAGTAATAAGAGGGGAGAGGGCTTATGCTTGCTCTGGATGCCATTGTCTTCCTAATCCTGAGAGCAAGTGACCATTCCAAGAATAAATTGGGTAGTTTGAACTTCTATTTTAAGACTGGATTGAATTTTTTTTTAACTAATTAGGACTTGTGTCAAAAGTGAATATTTTAATTGACAAAGGCTGATACTTTTGGAAGTCAGTTCACTGCTTTGTCTTTGCTGCTTTTCCTGCTAACTGTTATGCATTTTAACTAAGCAATACACTGATGTTTGAAAGATTGGAACTAAATCATTAAAGATAGATAGATAGATATGGGGATGTAAAACTTGGGCTAGTTTCTTGTGTCTGCTAAAATCAAGATAAACTGTGAGTTTACAATAAAATGAATCTGTTACTGTTGTAAGCTGCAGCTTAGTTCCAGCCTTTTGTAGGGGCAGGGACTCCACACTTGTGGGGTTTTTTTTGGTAACACTCCTACCCAGCAAGTATTGTTTCTCTGTGGCGCCAAGCCCAAAACAAACTGTTTTCCAGACATTGGGCCTAGAGCTTAATAACAATAATAATTATACAGGGAGCTTTGTGGAAGACCAAAAGCAGTTCTCCTGTGAAATCAGAGTAGTTAATCATATTTCATCAATGGTGTGTCTTGTTAACTGTAGCTCTTACCAGGTCTCTCAGTAATTTTAGAAGTTTTATCTTGACTAACTTAATTTTTACAGGAATTCTATATCCATGTGACTGCTTAGTGTCTTTGCTAGCATATTTGTATCTCCTGGCATAAATTTGGTCCTGGTGAGGTTTGCTGGCAACTCCAAAACTGAAGGGGTTTCAGTGTACAAGAGATCAAATGTTAAGTGAAGTTACAGTTAGCAAAAATAGTAGAACCTACAGGCAAAGGGCAAGATAGTTGGTAATAATTAATGTTCAGTACAAAAATAGCAGATGATAGCTGGTGCATGTGAGGAGAACGTTACAAGTCTGCCGTGCACATGTCAGGCTTATATGGGGCAATAATATTACTTTGTTGCTGTGATACAGCCTTCACAAATTCATTCAGTAAAAACCTAGCTAGATGGAATGATATTCTTTGCTCTGTCATAATTTAAGAGAAGTTGCCTATACCAGAGAAGCCATCAAATTAGATGCCAACATGATACTAGTAGCTCTCATTTTTGTCGTATTTTATGGACATAACCACATTCCGGGTCTTCACGTTTCAGTTGCTTGCAATTTTCTGAAACTACAGTAACTTGGAATAAAAGTTTCCAAGGTGCACATCTCAGATTTTCTGGCCCAGTTTACTTCAGAAAATGTCATTCCAGTATAGTTTTTCTGTTTGTGAAAAGCAGGCTAAAGAAGAGACCTTAAAAGCTTCTGCAATATCTTCTCTATGGGGCCTTGTTATCTGCAGGTTTTGTCAGGAATGTGTAACATATGAAAGTGCTTTTTACCATAATCTTTCCTAGGTTATCCAAGTGTAACCTTTAAAAAACACATATATTCTTAGTAAGTAAGCATTTCTGAAAGTTTTAAGGAGTCTGTGAATGCTTATTCCCCTCAAACTCCACTAATTTTCAAGAAGGGCAAGAGAATGACTCTTGCAACTACAGGCCTGTCAGTCTTGCTTCAGTGACTGTTAAAATTACAGACATTATTCCGGAAGGTATTGAAAAACACCTGAAAGACAGTGCAGTTGTTGGTCACAGCCAGGGTGAGGGTGCCTGTCCTGAGGCCATCCTGGGTGCATGTATAGCATGGGGCACAAGAGGCTGCAAAGCTGCTTCACAGAAAGGGACCTGGGGGTCCTGGTCAGTGACAAGGTGAATGAGTCAGCAGGGCCCTGGCAGCCAGGAGGGCCATCCCTGTCCTGGGAGGACATCCAGGACTGTCCAGGCACAGCATCACAGCCAGGCAAGGGAGGGGATTGTCCTGCTCTGCTCTGCACCGGGGCGGCCTCATCTCCAGTGCTGGGGGCACTTTGGGGTGCCACAGTGCAAGAAGGACATTAAACTATTAAGAGAGTGTCCAAAGGAGGGCAACCAAAACACTGAAGGGTCTTGAAGGGAAGCCATATGAGGAGCAGCTGAGGTCACTTGGTCTGTTCAGCTTGGAGAAGAGGAGGCTGGGGACAGACCTCATTGCAGTTAGAACTTCCTCATGAGGGGAAGAGGAGGGACAGCCACTGATCTCTCCCTGTGGTAATCAGTGACAGGACCTGAGGGAATGGCTTGAAGTTGTGTCAGGGAGGGTTAGGTTGGATATAAGGTAAAGATTCTTCACACAGAGGGATGGTTGGGCCCTGGAATGGCATCCCAGTCAAGTGGTCACAGCACTGAGCCTGCCAGAGTTCAGGAAGCAATTGGACAGTGCTCTCAGACGCATGGTGTGACTCTTGGGGCTGTCTTGTGTGAGACCAAGAGACGGTTTCAATGATGCTTGTGGGTCCCTTCCAGTTCTCTGTGATGATGTTTTAGTCAGCGGATGTGAGACCAAGAGACGGTCTCAATGATGCTTGTGGGTCCCTTCCAGTTCAGAGTATTCTGTGATGATGTTTTAGTCAGCGGATAGATGTAAAATTTAGAAGAGCTAAAAAAGAGCTGAAAAGATGAGAAATTTGGGGACAGAGACTCAGTCTGTAAGCAAATAGGTAAGAGGAAATAAACTGAAAAAGTGAGAGAAATAGAGATAGATAGAAAACAGGGTAAGATAGATAATGCCAGATAAGACTAGATAGATAAGAAGACACTGGATGGAGGGGTGGGCATGCTGGAAAAAGTGAATTAAAGGGGTCAGTCTTAGGAGAATGACAAAGGAGCAGGAACCTGTAAGAGTGCTTCCTTTCCATGTCCTTCAATCTCCTTAAGATTCTGAATCTTCCTTTCCTGGTGCCAGCAAATATCAGTGAAAATCACTTGCTTAAGATGTACCTCACCTCCTTTACTTGGCCCTGCTGGCAGACTGTGGTTCACACCTGTTAGCTAAGATAGCAAAGGTCTGGTCTCTCCCTGCTGATATGAATCATGGCAGTAGTTCTGTGGTGCCACATAATGGCATTCCTTTATGTGCTTTTCCAAAAGCTAGGAAATTGCACATAACAAGTTACAAGCATCTGATGAGCAGTATAGAAAAGTCTGTAAAGAAATTAATCATTCTGCCTTCAGAATAGAGCTGGAATAATGTGCAGTAAACAAGGCTTTTAGGGCTATACATCAAATAAAAAGGGCGAAAATAAAATATTGAATGTCTTCTAGCTAAGTGATTTTGTCCTGTGTACTGAATGAGACACTGTCCCCATGGAGAACTTAAGACTGGGTTTATGCAATTGAGGATGTAATGTGACAAGTGGTAAATTCTGAATCTCCTCAAGGCCATCAGAAGAAAACTGAATGTCTTTCTGAAATGTATGTATTAGCCAAGTACTAGCTGTACTTCTATTAAAAATACAAGTTCTTGAGCACAGTATGTTCAGTCCCCTACCAGAGAGAAATATATGTCTTGGATTATGCAAGAGGGCAAACTAGATTATGAGCCAGTTCCAAGGGGCTTGAAATGATGCAAAACATGTACACAGGCAGATGTAATTGAATTCACACATGTTTCTGTGCTGGTCCCCCCAGTTTGAATACATTGCTTTCTCACTCTAGTAGTGCTGTTGTGGATATGTGATAATTTGGAGGAAGAGGATCTGGTTGTGAGAATTACTGTTTGACTTGGTACAATTGCCATCCAACTGACCTAGTCCACTTTAAGGAAGAATTCTGCTGTAGACAGTGCCGAGCCTCCCTGGTGTACCAGCATCAATTAGCAAAGTAGTCATGTCTCTTCCCCTGGGTCTTGGAACTGGGTTGTCGAAGCTATATTTGGAAAATTCCAACCTGAAGAGTGTTGCTGGCTTTAAATGAAGGGCACAGATCTAGCAATGAATGAGTCCGTTGGGTGTCAGTAAGTTCACCCTTACCCAGGGTAGAGTCACCACCATAATACACACAAGCTGTCTCTGTGCAGCTGAAAATGGCTGTGTTTTGCTGTGACTGTGTTTACAATAGCAGTCAAATCAGCATGCTTTCCATAGAAAGCACACTGCAGCATGGCAGAGCAGCACCACAGAGCAGCACTGCAGTGCCAAGAGTGTCCCAGGGGGTGGGTGCCATGCTCTGCTTTGTCCCAGGGGCCTTTGGCACTTTATGTCCAATGCTGTGGTTGGGAAACCAAAAGCACTTCAAAAATACCACACACAGCAGCTGTGCTGCTTCCTGTAACACTTGCAGTTTCTGAGTGATGTCACAGGATCCTTAAGTCTGTATCAGGAATCCCCCTTTGGCTTTTACAAAGTACTACTGGCTAATACCTAATCTAAGGAAGTATATTTTTTGAGGAATTTTGTTTTCATTTGAAAAAGACACACAGAACAAGCTTTCAGGGCTATTTGAAACACAGTCCTGGTGAGGTAAGAACCTACTCCTTTGGTTAGATAGCTGTTTGCTGCCAGAAGCACTTAGCTTGTACATCCTGTGAGACCATAGTTTCTTTAATAAATACAACTTGCTAGGGTTCTTTTTCCACATTGCTCCTGATGCCATCTCAAATTTCTGTCATCCCTTCCTTTATCAGAACTCCTCTGTTTCCTTCTTCCCTTTCACTGGCTTCTTCTGGGGCCTGCTTGCAAGGGTCATAGAGCATTTCTCCCTCCGGGGGCTGATGAAGTTTCTAGTGAGCAGGTGTCTTTGCTGGTCTGAAAACAAGGGCTTAGTCCATATCTCCTTCTCTTACACTGTGACCTGTGACAGCACATTTCTACAACCAAATAACCATGGCTTTCTTCAGTATGTTCCAAATTTGGTTATATAACATCATGCAATACACAGCTTTGGGATGGTGGTAACAAAACTGACATGTGGCCAACCAAGTCAGAAAATATAACATAAGCTGGGGCAGATGACATCTCCTTT